CACGCTTGGAAGGGAAGAATACGAGTTTATTTTGGAGGAGTCCACGGCGCCTCGGATGTATGGAAGCGATAATGCCCAGCGGGTAGCTGGCTGAGGGCAGGGTCGGCAAACTGTGGCTCACGGCCACGTCAGCCCATGATATCCACAGAAACACACCACACTGCCATCGCTGTCCTGCCTCCAGGGCAGAGCTGAGCGGGTGGCTGCGGCAGACCATAAGCTATTGATTCTCCCGTCCTTTACTGAAGGCTGCCACCCTGATTTAGAGCAAAGAATATGGGTTAGAGTTACAACTCAGAATCTCCCTCCAACCAACTCTCCTCCCTGATTGTATCACTCATACACACACACACTCACACACACACACACACACACTCATACACAGACTCATATACACACACACTCACACACACACATTCACACACACACTCAACACACACACACTCACACACACTCACACACACACACACACACACACACTCACACACAGACACTCATACACACACACTCACACACACACACACACTCACACACACACTCATACACACTCACACCACACTCACACACACTCACACACACACACTCATACACACACACACACACACACTCACACACACACACTCATACACACACACACTCACACACACACACACACTCATACACACACACACTCACACATACACTCACACACACACACACTCATACAGACTCATATACACACACACTCACACACACACACTCACACACACACTCATACACAGACTCATATACACACACACACTCACACACACTCATACACAGACTCATATACACACACACATTCACACACACACACTCACACACACACTCATACACACACTCATATACACACACACACTCACACACACACAGACACACACACACACACACACACACACACACACACACACACACACTCACACACACACCACCCGCAGCTCTGACGTTTTTATAAAATCTCTTTCTCAGGCTCTTCCCTTCCTGCCCGCCCCTTAAACACCGGTGTTCCTTAGCGTCCCCTGGGCCCACGTTCCTCACACAGCACCGTTCCGGGACAACCCTACCCACTTCTATAGTTGCAACCACTGCCAACCGGCTAAGGATACCCGCCTGAATCGCTGGTCACACTGACCTCCGAGCGCCCGTGTGCCTGGGGACAGCCCTGAACACACCACCGCAGGGTCTCAGGTGGAGTGGGATGAGCTGTGTTGCGAGGTGGATCCATCCCCTCACCCCCTCCTAACATACACGCATGCGCTTCGGATGCCCGCCCTCCCCACGTAGCCCGGGGGAATGCCCGGATCAGACAGGCCGGCAGCACAGAGCCATCATCAGCTGAGAGCCTGAAACGCGCATGGGCCCTTTCCAGAGGGTCAAGGAAGCCGCAGAGCACAAGCCCGTGGCCCCCGAGCCTGAGGGGGGAAGGGGGAGCAGGGCGTCACAGAGTCTGGTGGAGGTGGCTCCAGGCCACCCACCAGGGGCTGTCGCCACGGAGGGCCTCGGCACCCAGGCCAGGGCACCACGGCGAGGAGGGAGCAGGGCAGATGCCCTTCACCTCCTGCCCGTGCCACCAGCGGCCAGACCTGCGTGGAGGCCAGCGGGAGAGCCTGCCTGGCGCCAAAGGTCCGCCTTCGGGAGGAGAGAGCAGAGCGGAGAGTGCATGGGCCAGGGGAGGGAGGAGCAAATGCGGTGTACCCCGCAGCTGACCCTGCCCCGGCCTGGGCAGTGGGGGCAGGACCCAGATCATTCAAACAATCACTACATCCAGAGGTGTGCTGGGAAACAGCTAGAAGGAAAAAAATTCAAGCCCGGCCAGCATGGCTCAGTGACTGAGTGTTGGTTGACCTATGAACCAGGTTCGATTCCCAGTCAGACACATACCTGGGTTGCAGGCTGGATCCCCAGTGAGGGGCATGCAGGAGACAGCTGATCAATGATACTTTCTCATCATTGATGTTTCTATCTCTCTTCCTCTCCCTTTCTTTTTGAAATCCATAAAAAAAAATAGTTAAAAAAAATCAAATACATAGGGTTTGACAATTTGTGTGAGAACACATTCCCACCATGGCTAATTCCCAGCTACAGAGGTGAAGTCTCGGAGGCCGTTAGGAGGGAATGTGCGCCCCGCTCCGATACCCGTGGGGGCTGACCCCAGCGCACGCCCTGCTGATCAGAGACGTCCGGCCAGCCTGCGCGCTTTGTGCTAACCCAGGAAAGGCTTGTTTAGAAAATCTGCTTGGAGAGTTATTTAATGCTTCCATGTGCTGTTTATGTTCCTCTGTATGTCTGGAATTCTCCTCACTCCCTTTCTCTAAGTAACTTCCCTGCCTTTTTAAGATTTAATTTTGTCCTGACTAGGTACCTCAGTTGGTTGAGCGTTGTCCCCATACACCGAGGTTACAGGTTCAATCCCCAGTCAGGGAACATACAGAAATCAACTAATGAACGCATAAATATGTGGAACAACAAACTGATGTCTCTCTCTCTCTCTCTCTCTCTCTCTCTCTCTCTCTCTCTCTCTCTCTCCTACCCTCTTTCTCTCTCTCCCCTCCCTCTCTCTCTAAAATCAGTAAATTAAAAAAAAAATTCATCTGGGAAGAAAGCAGGGAAATCACAGTTAAACATAAGTAATTTTAGACATGGAAGAAATTTTTTAAATGACCAAACTCCCAATTTTGTACACCCAGTTTTCCAAAATATACATTCTCAGCCTTTGATTCATAAAACTTCGGCTTAAATGAAAAGGAGAGAAGTGTAAGAACCTTAGGTGCACTCAGACAACTGATACAGCCGGACCGCGGTATAACTCAGGGAGAATTCAAACACGCTAATAAGTAACGGGTCCTATCTCCGAAGAGTAAAGACAAACGTGTGGAACAAAGGTATCCCTAGCAGATTCAAAGGATTGTTTTTAAAGGCTGAACCTTGAAAACACGCTCATTGAAAGAAGCCAGTCCCACACGCACACACTCACAAATCCACAGATTATAGGATTTTGAGGCTCTGAAGTGTCCAGAAAGGGAAACCCACCACAATAGAAAGCGACTGACGTGTGCCAGGAGCGAGGGGAAGGGAGGGATGGGGGGTGGCTGTTCATGGATATGGGGTTCTCTTCGGGGTGATGAAAATGATGCCAAATGGATGGTGAAATGATTGTAGAATTCTGTGGATATACTAAAAGCCACCAATTTGTACACTTAAATGGACAAATTATATGGCATGTGAATTGTATCTCAAAAAGAACTTATTTATAACCCAGCTGGCATGGCTCAGTGGTTGAAACAAGAGGTCGCGGTTCGATTCCCGGTCAGGGCACATGTCCGGGTTGTGGGCTCCATCCCCAGTGAGGGGCATGCAGGAGGCAGCCAGTCAGTGATTCTCACTCATCATTGGTGTTTCTCTCTCTCCCTCTCCCTTCCTCTCTGAAGTCAATAGAAATATTTATTTTTTTAAAACAACTTATATTTAAAAGCAAAAGATAAATCAATTCCTTAAGTACACCGATCATAAAATCCACTTCTACTGTGTGAATTATGTGGCTGCTAGGTTTGATGCAGGCTAGATGTGAAATGACATCAAGTTTAAGAAACCACCCATCATTTCTACTTTTTTTTTAATCTCCGTGTGACAACATCTGAACGCTTTTATGGGGAGGGGTCGGATACAAGGAGTGACAAGTCAAGCGGAGTATCCTGTTGCAAAATAATTTAGCTGAAAAACTGGTCACTTATAATGACAGCGGCAGCGGGAGGGATGGGCGTGCGTGCGGGCAGGAATATTACTCACAAACGAAGGACAACTCCCCGCCTTCCCGCGGGATGCAGCTCGCCTGTCTTCCTGCTAAGGTCCCCGAGGGAGGCCCTACTCCCCACCGGCCATGTCACCATGGGAACAGTCCTGCCAGCTCTCCTAACAGGATTTCCCCAGAAAGATACACACACGTTTTCAAAAATCCAACCAACAACTGAAACTTAAAACCAAGTGATTATGCTGGATTGAAATTTCTGCAATTTGGGAACTGCATGAAAGCAAAACTTACCCAAATCTTAAGAATATGTCAGTGTGGATTCTGTACTCTGATATCAGTTAATGCTACACGCTAAGCTTCTAACAGAATCAATGTGCCCTTTCTTTTATTTAAAATAATTGCTATTAGCCGAGACGGGTTTGGCTCAATGGATAGAGCGTCGGCTTGGGGACTGAAGGGTCCCGGGTTCGATTCCGGTCAAGGGCATGTACCTTGGTTGTGGGCATATCCCCAGTAGGGGGTGTGCAAGAGGCAGCTGATCGATGACTCTCTCTCATCGATATTTCTAACTCTCTATCTCTCTCCCTTCCTCTCTGTACAAAAACAATAAAATATATTTTTAAAAATAAATAAATAAAATAAAATAAAATAATTGCTATTAAACTGTTAAAGCTTCTTCCTCAACAAAAGGCGCCTCTGTTACAGAACCAAATCAGCGCATCTTTCCTGTAACTAATGTTTTGTGTCCTAGGCTCTGATACTCACTCCCCCCAAAATAAGTCACCCAGGCATGTTCTTCTCCCCCCACATCCTGGGACCAAGTCCTGGACGCCAGGCTGCCCCTGCCTGACCCTCACCAGCCCGGTCCCCTCCGCCTCCGGAACCCTCCCGCGTGGCCCGCGGTCAGTCCCGGGCCCCCAAAAGTGCGGACCGGCCGACGGGGGTGATGGCAGGGGGCGAGCATCCTCCCCACATCGTGCTTCCTTCCTCCCCGGACCCCGCGCCCACCCCAGCTCCGCGCGCTCACCCCGAGGAGCAAGACCCACCCACCTGCCCGCACCCCCGCTCATCCCGGAGCAGCAGGACCCCCCCCCCACCCGCTCACCCCCTGCCCCCCGCTCACCCCGGAGCAGCAGGACCCCCCCTCCCGCTCACCCCTCTGCCCCCGCTCACCCCGGAGCAGCAGGACCCCCCTCACCCCCCACCCCCGCTCACCCCTCTGCCCCCCGCTCACCCCGGAGCAGCAGGACGCCCAGCAGCGCCAGCGGGGCGGCTCCAGGCGGCTGCATCCCGGCGGCTGGTCCGCACCGTGTTTACCTCCCTGACGGCGCAGGTGACACCGGAAGTGGCGTCACGCAGGTGTCACCGGAAGTGGCCTCGCGCAGGTGGCGTCGGAAGCGCTTAGGATGGCGGTTCCGGAGGCGGGAGGGCTCTCCCAGGCCGCACCTCCGGGCGCTGCGGCTTCTCCGCCTGGAAACGGGCTCTTCGGTGCGAATCCTGCCGCCAGGCCGTCGTTCTCCCGTTTCTGGTCTTTCCCTCCCGCCGTCCCACCGGTGCCCGGAGAAGGATGTGTGCATCCGGACAGGAATGTGTGCATTCGAACGGGTGTGTGCATTCGGACAGGGGCGTGTGCATTCGGACAGGGGCGTGTGCATTCGGACAGAGGCGTGTGCATTCGGACAGGGTGTGTGTGCATTCGGACAGGGGCGTGTGCATTCGGACAGGGGCGTGTGCATTCGGACAGGAATGTGTGCATTCGAACGGGTGTGTGCATTCGGACAGGGGCGTGTGCATTCGGACAGGGGCGTGTGCATTCGGACAGGGGCGTGTGCATTCGGACAGGGGTGTGTGCATTCGGACGGGTGTGTGCATTTGGACAGGTGCGTGTGCATTCGGACAGGGGCGTGTGCATTCGGACAGGGGCGTGTGCATTCGGACAGGGGCGTGTGCATTCGGACAGGGTGTGTGCATTCGGACAGGGGCGTGTGTGCATTCGGACAGGTGTGTGCATTCGGACAGGGGCGTGTGCATTCGGACATGGGCGTGTGCATTCGGACAGGGTGTGTGTGCTTGTGTGTGCATTCGGACAGGGTGTGTGTGCTTTCGGACAGGGGCGTGTGTGCATTCGGACAGGGGTGTGTGCATTCGGACAGGGGCGTGTGCATTCGGATAGGCGTGTGCATTCGGACAGGGTGTGTGTGCTTTCGGACAGGGGCGTGTGCATTTGGACAGGGGTGTGTGCTTTCGGACAGGGGCGTGTGCATTCGGATAGGTGTGTGCATTCGGACAGGGTGTGTGTGTCTTGGCCAAATACCCAGTTATTCATTGTCTTCTTCCTAAACAGAACTTAAACTGCTGGGCCTTAGAGAAGAGCAGTCGGTGCCTTCAGCGGAGCAGCTGGTCATCCCCGTTGTCCTGCGGGATCTGCTTGTTGCGGTGCGGTGACCAGCAGTGGCTAACATTACAGACGGAGCAGCGGGGCCCGGGCCGGACACCGGCCTTTCACTGGGCCAGGGAGGAGGAAGTTTCACCGAGCTGGCCATGGAAGGAAGCCATGGCCTCATGTTCTCTAAAGAAGCAGCGGCCGGTGCCTGCTCCCCTCTCCAGCCAGCCTGGCCTCTCAGTGAGTGAAAGCAGAGGGGAGCCAGACTCTGTTCACTTTTCGGGAATTTTCATAACTTTCCATTTTCAACCTCATTCCTCTACTTAGAGTCTACTAGAGGTGAAAACCGGTGTGTTCACCTTTAAGAAGATAATGGAAGGGCCCCAAATGGAATGGATGATGCTCTGCCTTAAAGTACAGGTCACAGGCCTGTGTGACCATCTCCAGCAAGTCAGCTTTCATGCAGAAAACTGACAGCGCAGTTGCCAGTTGGTTACTGAATTTTCAGAGGCGGGGGCGGGAGGGGGGTGTCCAGGAGGCGGGGCAAAGGATGTAGGGAGGAGGGGAAAGGGTATAAGCACAAAGAACTGTCTGCACCAACAGTTTGGCTCAGTGGATAGAGCATCAGCCTGTGGACTGAAGGGTCCCAGGTTCGATTCAGGTCAAGGGCCTGTACTTTGGTTGCAGGCACATCTGATATTTCTAACTACCCCTCTCCCTTTCTCTCTGAAATCAATAAAAATATTTTTTTAAAAAGAACTGTGTGCATGACCAGCAGCACATTTCCCCGGAAGATCCACCCTCCACAACTAGACAAGGGGAGGTGGAGACAACTAGAAAAGGCCTCAGTCCATTTTTAAAATAATCCTGTAGGAGACAGTAAGCCATAGGCAAGGCTGGGGAAACTGTTAGCCCCATAGTGCTCAGCCATGAGCAGCCAGGGAGGGGCTGTCCCGGACTGGGAGTACACTGCCTGGAACCCACGCGCCCAGCATGCCTGCTCAACCAGTGCCCGATCTTGCAAGATGGCATTAAAAGTCTCGTTTTTTGCCATATTGTCTCCAAGTCTGTTATTTGAATTCAGACAGGTGAGCGTTTCTCACAAAAGAATCCCCAAACTAAGTATTAGGTCTAGTAATAATTAATGTCGTTTTCTAATACTTTTTTAAATCGAATTTATTTAAACAATACAACAAAATTTAATCAACAATATAGTTGCCGTTGTTTTCTACTACTTGTGCCCAACGCTCAGGAAGCATTTTAATCCCTCTGTTGTAAAATTCTTGTGATTTTGATGCAAAAAATTCAGTCAATGCATTTTTGAGGCATTCTTCATTATTAAATTTTTTTCCAAGAAGAAAGTTTTGCAAAGAACGAAACAAATGGTAATCAGAAGGGGCAATATCAGGAGAATATGCAGGTTGAGGGAGAACTTCCATTCCAACTGGCGCAGTTTTTCAGCAGTGATTCTTGCAGTATGCGGTCGTGCGTTATCGTGGTGAAGAATTACGCCCTTCCGATTAATCAGCGCAGGTTCTTTTTCTCTTAAAGCTTGGGCTAACCTTTCCAATTGGGCACTATACACTGCACTTGTAATGGTTTGGTTAGATGGTAAAAGTTCATAATGAAGAATTCCTTTAAAATTCCACACATCACTTTTTTCGCATGCAAGTCAGGTTTTGGCGTGGGATGCGGAGCCTCATTTTTGTCCAACCATTGAGGCCGCCTTTTCACCCATTTTTCATCTCCGGTAACAATTTGCTCTAAAAACGGCAAACGGTTTTGATGAGAGAGGAGCGAACTGCAAATTGTGACTCTTTGATTACGGTTGTTGTCGGTCAACTCATGAGGAACCCATTTTCCAAACTTTTGGACTTTGCCAAGTGCACGCAATTGATTGGAAATTGTTTTTTGTGAACAATTTAAAGTTGTCGCAAGCTCTTGTTGGGTAATTTGCACCAAAAGAGCTTGAAGAGCTTCTTGATCAAAATTGGACACACGGCCTCGACCACTCTTGTCATCTAACGAAAAATTTCCCTCGTGAAATTTCTCAAACCAACGCTGGCATTTTCTGGCGCTAACTGCATCTTGACCAAGAGCACTACAGATGTTTTTTGCAGCCTCACTTGCTTTTCTTCCTAATTGGAACTCGTAAAGCATGCAGTGCCGAATATGCTCTTCATCCGCCATCTTCTTAGCCCTAGTTTTGCAACAAAAACCAAACCAAACACAAACTTTTTCAAGCAAAACTTGTTAATTGCACTTCACACGTTCTGTAGATACCACGTGTTTGAAGGTTATGTCAATACAAGTCAACACCAAGCAAGATTTTAAACGAATGTTTAAAAACGACATTAATTATTACTAGACCCGATATCTCATTGTGCCGGATTCTGAGTTGTCCATGGCAATGTGAAAATTCTGTGAAATTCCATGTCAGTTTATTTCTCCAGTAGATGTTAATTCTATCCATTATTAACTTCCAGGCTGCCAGTAAGAAAATGGTTAGTGAAGATGAAATGCATATCCATCTGCTTTCTGTGACCTACTATTTAAAATTTAGATGTGTATATAAAGCCAATTGTACAATTGATAAATTTTTATTGCTAAAGGTTATTTACGTAAATGTTTAAGTTCTGTTTAGGAAGAAGACAATGAATAACTGGGTATTTGGCCAAGACACAGCTACAAGTTTTGCTGGAAACACATTCCCTGAGTTTGTAACTACTTTCTCATTATTCTGGGACATCATCCAGGCCATCTGTGAAAAGAAACATCCAGTGTTTATATTTTAAAAGGGTGTATTATGGAGAAAAATAGAAAATGTGAATAAAAAATAATATAGACTCTAAATCTGATTTTTAGTTTTAAAACTGGGTTTTGAAACTTTACTTTGTGTAATGAGCAAAACAAGACAGGTATGGAATGTATTTGTGAATCAAGGTTTGTATGTATTATAAATTACACCAGTTTTTAAAGAACTCTTGGGGGAAAACATATCCAAGTTCAGTGTTGGACGTGAGCAGAGCGAGGGCAAAGGCCAGGCACAGAAAGCTCCAGATGCGCAGCCAGGGGCGGAGCTGGGAAAACAACCTCGTCCCAGGGCCACTCTCCTCCCTAGCACAGCACGGGTCCTGCGGTTCGGACCCAGGTCATCAGAGCCTGCTGAGGCGGTGTAGACCCCCTGACCTTTCCTCCGCAGAGATGGCATCGAGGCCCAGGAAAGCAGCGAAACCAGACAAGTGACACCGTGGCCGCCTTAGGTCCAGCTAAACTGACCAATGGCCTCTGGCCCTGGTGCCCACCAATCAGCGGAGACCAGGGCCCTAGGAGAGCTCACCGGGAAAGCTGGTGAATATTCTAAAGGCCCTCCCCTGAGACTGCCCCCAGACCCCACCTGCAGGAGAGAGCAACAGCTCGGAGCAAAGGGCCCTGTGGGCACTCTCCCTCTAAGGAACACAGCCGCCATTCCCTCACAGGCACGGGTCCCCGCCTCATGAGACTTGCCCCCAGGGGAGCAGTGGGCAGTGCCAGCTCGTCCTGTCTGCAGGCCCCTTTGCTCTGACTTCCTGGCAAGCCAGAGCAGCTCAGCCTGGGCTCTCCCGTTGCTTCTTCCCTGCTGTCCTTGCTTCACTGTCCTGAGTCCATTTTTGCTGCCGCCATGGGCCCTGTGCCCTCAGGCTCAGTGCTGTGCAGCCCTTCCCTTGGGATATCCCCACCTCCAGCCCCTTTCCTTAGAGAAATTCCATTTTCCTGTATCCACCGCCTGAGAGGGCTGTTCAGCCTGCCTGCCCACCACGCATTTAACCTTTCCTTCAGTATCTTTAAACACAGACCATCTGTTTGAAAATTCCAGTTTATTAAAAGAAATAACATCTGTAGCCCTGTCAGTGAAAACTAACATATCATGTTCTTAAGATTTGGGGGAGGCCTAAATTTTAGCTGTTTTCTGTCTTTTGAATAAATGCTGCTATTGCTTAAGTTTGGAAATAAACCAGAAAACTAGACACTTTTTAAAAAGCTCTCTTTTTGTAGCTCACAACGTTTATTTTATCTGCTAGTATAAGAGAAAAAAAAGTAAAGTCGATTTCATTCTGTCAGTTTTGGCATTTCTTTGCCCTGCACCAAATTCTCCCCCAAAACAAGTGAAGTTTAAAAGAAGAAGAAAGAAAGAAGTAGGGAATCTCTTCCAGTTCTCAGAGCTTTGTGCACCACTGAACAAAATCACCATCAGTTAGGGTTGTTGTTTTTTCACCAGCCCTAAATTTTTAAAGTCATAAAATACCATTTAAGAATTCTTCTATTTAGCTGTTTGGTGATCCCGGCTACCAGTGAAGGGCACAGACAGCTCTGCGGTGCAGGTCGCAGAGGCGGGCGGGCAGGAGACGGCCATTCCCGCCCAGGGAGGCCCCGAGCTGCTGACTGTTTCCACCAAACAGAAAAGGTGGGAGCAGTTCACGCAGGGTGGCATCTGTCCACCGGTGAGCACCCGGGAAACCTTTCCTTGGGGCTCTGTGATTCAGACTTGCTCTCTGGTAAACGGATCAATTGACAAAGATAAGGGGAAAACCACCATCCGGGACATGGAAGGGAAGGCCACACAGTGAGACGTGGCCCAGGTTACAGGGAGCATGAGACCCACCGCGGGCTTCTCCTGTCCCAGAGCAGGGCGGCCCCTCCCCGCCGTAGAGGGAGGAGGAGAGGGCGGAGAGCCTCCCGAAGCAGGAGCGGGGCTCTCAGAGCGGGTGTGGGAGGGACAGAAGCCACGGCATCCACAGGGCTGCAGCAAGGCCTGCTCCCTGGTGCTCCCGGCGCTCCCGGTGCTCCCCGGTGCAGACGCTGCCTGGGATGAGGGGCTCTCACCGGAGCAGCACTGGCCCCACAGGGGGAGTCCTCGGTGGGGTGCTTGCTCGGGGTGCTGTGGGGGGTCAGTGCAGAGCTGGCGGACACAGGTCACCGGGACAGGAGTCGGCGGACGCGTCCATCCACGGCAGCTCCGGGCTCCTCCGCCTCCTGAAACACAGAGCGTCAGTGGGCGGTGCCCCGGGAGGGGCGGGGGACCCGCTCCGCCTGCAGGGAGCCCCGGCTCTGAGCCTCCATAACCGCTGCTGGGTGGGAAACGAGCACCTGTTCTTCCTAACACGCTCTTAGCCCGGCTTTGCTTATCATTGAGTTAACGGTTATTTTGTTGTTGTTGTTGTTGTTGTTGTCAATTCCGTTACTTCTAACAAATTGTCCTGAGTAGGCCACATGTTGGAAATAGCACTGTGACTTCGCCGACATAAATAAGTGTCTCATATCTGCAGCCACAGTGTCTGTGAACCCAGGAGCCGGGGCTGGTCAGCCCGGGAGGGTCAGCCCTTCCCCCGCAGGGGACACACGCATTCATACTAAACGTTCCGGAGCGGTTGGAAGGGTGAGGGTTAGGCAGTTGTGGCATATTGTGTGCAAAGAGGAAAAGGAGATAGGCCCTCTCCTAGAGGCCCACTCCACACACACTAAAGTTCCAGCACTACCAAAAGAAGCCCAAGAAGTTAAACTTCTGCATAATCCCAGTTACACAGATGGGCCTACACAGGTGAAAGCAGGAAACTGTCCGATGTGTCCATTTCTTAGCACATGCATTCGGAAAACCTGCGTTCTTAGGAAAGAGACTGAGCTTTGGCGGACACCCCCTCGCCAGAATTAGTCTGACACACGGAGGGTTTGCTGTCAGTACATATTGATAGACCTGTTCCCCATTGTGAATGAAAATGTTCTTAAATGTATTTATCCTCCCCTGATTTAGCTTTAAAAGTCATTTCCTAATCCTTTTTCTCAGAGTCAGTGTCCTTAATTCATGGCCGCTGCCCCTTTGGATACTGGTTGATCTATACTCACTCTCACACACATTTCTCCTCTCTCCTCCCTCCCTCTCTGCCTTTAATTGTAAGCAAAATCAGACAAACAGAAAAGTAGATAAGCTAGGCATTCACCCATCGCCTAATCTTAAAGCATTTGCCTTACTTAGATTTTCTTTTCGGCTGACATTGCTTCCCTGGCAAATATTCCGATTTTTAGAATAGGAACATTTTCCTATTTAACCACAACACCCTTGTTATACCTAATAAAATTAATGATTTCCTAATATCCATATTCAAAGTTTCATATTCAAGACTCCCAGTTGTCCCCCAAATCTTTTTACAACTAGTCTGTTCAAACTAGCGCCATCCAGTCGGGGTCCACACATCGCACTTGACTGTGTCAGCTCCTTACATTTTTTGTATGTAAAAGAGCCCCATCTTTTTTCCAGGACCCGCACATGTTGGAAAATCTGCTTGATTTTGAAAAGAAAATAGCCTTTTGAAAAATCTCTCTGACACCAAATTTGTCTTTCTGGGTTTACGATAGAATCCTTTCTCTCCGTAGTCTGCTTTATAGATCCTGACGGTACTTTCACTGGAGTCTTAGGCTATAAAAATGTGACTCTTTTTACAAATAATAATAGTGGACCTACTTCAGAGAATAGAAGAAATTCTGATCATATAAAAAAATCATCCTATGTTTTAAGCCTGATAAACCGGAAAACTAGAAAAACAAAATCACACACTATTAAAACTGGACCAATGGTCCCAATAACGACATGAGAGGAGTGACTAGTTCTTTTGAAATGAAGGGCCTATCTCTTTTAAAGCAATATTCAGTAGGCCCTGGCTGGTAGCTCAGTTGTTAGAGTGTCATCCTGACCCCAAGGTTTCAGATTCATCCCCGCTCAGAACATGTTCAAGGGTCAACCACTGAGGCATAAATAAGTAGGACACACACCAATCTCCCTCCCTCTCTCTCTCTCCCAACCTAATCAATAAAACTATTTTATTTCCATGTTGAAAGTTAATTTATTCTTCTTAAATAAAGAATTCTCAAATCAGAATTCTCCCAGCTTTAACAGCCTAGCTTCCTAAGACTGCACAAATCACACTCAAAGGAGAAGCCATCCATTACAGACTTTACCTCCCTGACCCAGCTCCTCTCCTTCCACATAGGAAACACTTAACAATCATATCATCTGGGAGGCCCACATTGGAGATGAGCGGACAAGATGCGGAAAGAAAGGAACCCATCTGTGACCTCACCGCTGAGGCCGAGGAACGCTAGTCTGTGTCTTCCAGGTAAACGGCGACCTTCTTCTCTTGGTTGAGTCTTTCTTCTTCTTTTCTGGAAGACAGAAGCGGAAACCAATGTCAAGCCAACAAGACCAGAGCAAGAGAGGCGGATCCTACATAGGTTCAGGCAAGGCACTCTTCCCCACATTTGGGGGAGAATTAAAGGCACCTGGATATGGAGCCCAGCTTCCAGAGAGCCAGGGCACCAGGCCGTCTAACCTCTCTCACTCAGTGCCTTCCCAGGACCCTGGGTGTCTGAACTCAGACACTTTCCAGAATATCTTTAGAAGGGAATCATATAATTAGGGGATTCCAGGGATTTAAAGCAGACATTTTAGTTTACTATTAGTATCTTACCTCTAATTCTACTTCTTGTTCAAAATAGAAAATAGTCTGAGGGGAAGGAAGGAGGGGAAGGAATTAAGTAAAAATGGTAGTTACAAAATAATCCAGGGGGTGTGAAGTGGAGCAGAGAGAATGCAGTCAGTAACTACAGCTGGGGCCAGGTGAGCCCTGCATATCGAGGGAACACTGCGAAAAGTATATGATTGCCCAGCCACTACACTGTGCACCTGAAACCAATACTAAATAATATTGAGAGTAAATTGTACCTGAACATTTTAAAAAGACAGAAAAGGTTTTGTGCTGACCTAGAAGTCATCTTTATTCATTATATTCTGTTTAAACCAGAGCCTCAGAGGTGAGTTCCTTAGGCTCCTTAAAATCGATTCTATTTAGTTCAGTAAATATTTCTTGAGGAAAAGAAGCAAATGGTGCTGGGAGTACCAAAAACCTGCACCCTGCGCAAAGCATGAATTTGGACTCCAACTTCATCTACAAAAATTAACTCAAAATCAATCAAAGGCCTAAACGTAAGAACTAAAACTGTAAAAGTCTTAGAAGAAAGTATAAGCACAAATCTGCATCATGTTGGGGTAAGCAATGGTATCTTAGATACAACACCAATAACATAAGCAACAACAGAAAGAAAAATTGAACTTCATCAAAATTTTAAACTTTTGTGCTTCAAAAGGCACCATGAAGAAAGTGAAAAGACGACCCACAGAATGAGAGAAAATCATTGCAAATCATCCATCTAATGAAGCACTTTTAGACATTCCAAAATATATAAGGAGCTTTTACAGCTCAATATAAAAAAGACAACCCAATTTTTAAATAGGCAAAACATTGAATAGATATATCTCCAAAAAGATATACAAATGGTCAATAAATTCATGGAAAGATGTTCAGTATCACTAGTCCTTGGGAAAATGCAAATCAAAACCTCAATGAGCCCTGACCAGGTAGCTCAGTTAGTTAGAGCATCTCCCCAAACACCAAGGTTAGCAGTTCGATCCCCAGTCAGGACACATACAAGAAGCAACCAATGAATGCAAAAATAAGTGAACAACAAATCTCTCTCTTCTTCTTCCTCTCTCACTCAAATCAATAAGTAAAAATTTTTTAAATCACCTCAACGAGAAGCCACGTGACAACCACTGTGGCTATAATCAAAAGGACAGACAATAATAAGTGTTGTCAATGACGCGAACAAACTGGGATCCTCACACATCGCTGGTGGGATGGAAGCTGGTGCAGCTGTTTTGGAAAATGGTCTGGGAATACTTGGGAAAGGTAAACATAAAGTTACCGGGTATGAGAGCAGTTTCACTCCCAGGTACAGACCCAGAAGAGTGAGAACATGTGTCTGGGCGGGAGTGGCCGGGAGAGGTCACTTGGGGAAACGGGAGACATATGTAGTACTTTCAACAATAAAGAATTTAAATTATAAAAAAAACAACATATGACTACACACAAATTTATAGGCACATGCTTATAGCAGCATTAGCCATAGTAGCCAAAAAGTAGAGAAAACTTAAATGTCCATTGATTAAATGAATAAACAATGTGATATACACATACAGTGGAATGAAGTGCTACTACATGTTATAACATGAATGAGCTTTGAAAACACTATAATGAGTCAAATAATCCAGACACAAAGGCCACATGTTGTATGATTCTATTTAGGGGAAATGTCCAGAACAGGCCAACCCACAGAGCAGACGGCAGAGTAGGCAGGGGCCGGTGAGAGTGGGGCGTAGGGAGTGACAGCAAGAGGGTATGGAGTTCCCTTAGGGATGAATATGTCCTGGCATTAGTAGTGACTGTGGACTACTAAAAGGGTGAATCTTAATAGTATGCAAATTTTATCTCAGTAAAAAATATTTATTGAGCACCTAACAGCAGCATGGCTGACTTCCCTAGGTACTGACTCATAGTCACCTGCTAACTGCCCAGGGATTCTTAGAAATGTATGCTTTACATTAAAGGTAAGGAGTATTCTTTTTTCTTTCTCTCTTTTTTCTGTTTTGATTAATCCTCACCCGAGGATTTTTTTTTTCATTGACTTTTTAGAGAGAGTGGGAAGGAGGGAGGGGAAGAGAGAGAGAACAAAACAACAAATGGATCTAAGAGAGACACATCAATTACTTACCTCCTGCAAGTGCCCCTACCAGGGCCAGGGATTGAACCTGCAGCCCAGATACATGCTCTTGACCGGGAACTGAACCCTGGACCCTGAGGTGCACAGGGTATACTATAACCACCGAGCATGCTGGCCATGGCAGGAGTGACCTCAAAAAGCTTTATCTAACAGATTTTAGTTTCTTATGCATTATTATATTAGTTTCAGGTGCACACCCCGGTGATAAGACATTACATAACTTACTAAGTGATCTCCCGGATAAACTTCATACCCATCTGATGAAACAGATTTCAATATCAAATCCTCCATCATAAAGAAAGTCTGTAAAACTAAGAGTCCTTTTGTAAAGTCACCAGTCCCCACCCATGTGCTCATCCTGTGGCTCTGACCCTTCCTCTAAGATTCACCCAGACGGCAGAGCACGGCTCCGCAGTGAGCAGCCGCCCTGGGAGCTCCAGGCGCCGCCCTGGACGAGAGCGAGGAGAGGCCCCGGGCAGCCTTACGGTGTGATCTCCACCACTTTGTGCGCCCTCTCAGCCCACCGCCGCTTCCGGAAGTGCTGGAACAGGACCACGCCGATCACTATGATGATCATGAGGGCGCAGGCGGAGCCGATGGCCAGCGCCAGGAAGTAGATCTCGGAGAAGCGCACTGGGGAGAGAAAAGCGGTCCAGTGAGGTTCTCTAACGGAGGAGGGTTGTGATGTCAGCTATGGATCCCATAGGGATGCACTTTTAAAATATTTTTTATTGCAATCTCCTGATTTCAGAGAGAAAGGAAGAGGGAGCGAGAGATAGAACATCAATAATGAGAGACTCATTGACTGGCTGCCTCCAGCATGACCCCTACTGGGGATCAAGGCCACAACCTGGGCATGTGACCTTGACCTCCTGGTTCAGAGGTCAATGCTCACCCACTGAGGCAGGCGGGAGGTGCTTTTATCATCAGATGGACTCGTTCACCCGCCATGTTACCTTGTGAACTCCATAGCACAGGAAAGCCACGCATACGTTGGTGGTTCTCAGACACGTCCCTAGAGGAGCAGCAGCAGGACTTTGAAACGCAAAGGACCAGGCCCCGCCCCAGACCTACTGAATTGCAGGTGGGGCCCGGCTTTGTTCCAGCAGGTCCTGCGGGTGACCGACCAGCCTTGGGAGCACCACTGGGCCGGTTGAGTAAGATTATTGCTGACCTAGTCACATGCAGGGCCCAAACCTTCTCCCTCAGTCCCTCTGCCGTTCAGTCAGTCATTTATTCAGATGTTCCAGGCACTGATGGAAACACCAAGCCAAAATCAGACATCACCTTCAAGGAGCTCACGCCCCTGGGAAGACAGTGAGTAAGTCAGTGACTACAGTCGTGCCTCGTTAACAACAGGGGCGCCTTCTGGGAACGGCCTCGAGGCGATGCTGAGGACATCCCGGAGAGCCTGCTGCACACCTCAGCTGTCTGGTGCAGCCCACTGCTCCCAGGCTACGGCCCTGGCCGGCACGTTACTGTCTGAACTCCACAGGCAGTTGTAACACAGGGGTATTTGTGCAAATAAACATATCTACACATAGAAAAGGTATGATAAAAATCTATACTGATAAAAGGGTAATATGCTAATTAGACCAGATCTCTGGATGTCCTTCCAGACAAAACCATGGTGGTGGGGCTGAGGCAGAGGAGAGCAGGCTGGGGAGGGAGGTGGGTGTGAATGTTGGGGCAAGCAGACCATCAGGCAGAGTGGTTAGGGGCAATCAGGCAGGCAGGCAGGTGAGTGGTTAGGAGCCAGTGGTACCAGACTGTGAAAGGGACATCCAACTGCCTGTTTAGGCCCTATTTCTGAGGGATTGAGCCTAAACCAGTAGTCAGACATCCCCCAAGGGGTCCCAGATTGGAGAGAGTGCAGGCTGGGCTGAGGGACACCCGCCCCCATGCACAGATTTCATGCACCGGGCCATAGTATGGTATAGAAGCCTGGCCAGCGGGGCTCCTTGGTTGAACATCAGCCTATGAGCCAGGAAGCTCGATTCTGTCTAGGTTTCAGGCTCTGATCCCCAATAGGAGATCAAGTGTGTAGAAGGCAGCTCATTGATGATTCACTCTCATCATTGATGTCTCTATCTCTCTCTCTCCCCCTCTCCCTTCCTCTCTGAAATCAGTAAAAATTTAAAAAAAATGTTTTAAAAGCATAGTTTATTGATTTTTAGAGAGGGGGGAGGGGAAAATATTAATTGGCGAGTACAGCATCAAGCTGCTGCCCCTGCCGTCCACCACCAGGGGGCAGCCTGCAGCCTGGGCATTTGGGAATCACACTGGTGACCCTTTGACCAATGGGCCACACCCAAGCACCAGGTCACAGCCGCCAGGCCCGGGTCTTCCGCCTTTTTAAAGAGTTTATTGGGTCTGCAAAGCCCTGCTACAGCTTCCCTGTGGCTCTTCCTGAGGGTCTTTTTCGTGCCCTGCAGTTTCTGTCCTCTGCCTCCTCTGCAGCATGCCCGCCGTGCCCACCCTGCCAATCCAGCCACTCCCCGTCCGTCCGTTCGGACTCCTTGGGTTGGCCTCACCCTGAGCTAACATCGTTCCCATCGCACCACATCCTTGCTCTTTGCAACCTCTGGGCTGTGAGGTGACGTGGCTCCAGCACCACAGGAGGATGGGATTTTTCGGCTCCGTTGTCATTGTGTGACCGAAGCATCGTCATGTGGCACACGGTTAACGATGCAAGAGGGAGCCCCCAGGCCAGGAGCCTAAACCGGGCCTGCGTCTGTGACGCCTGGGTCTCTGTCGTTCTTTTCAATCCTCGCCTGAGGATATTTCCCCATTGGTTTTTAGAGAGAGGGAAAGACAGAAAGAAAAACCAATGTGAGGGAAACACACCAGCCGAGATACATGCCCTTGGCCAGAATCGAACCTGGGACGCTGTATACACTGAGCCAAATCGTCTAGGGCTTGGTTTCTGCTTTAAAATCAATAAACCCTCAGCACAGAAAGGACAGTAGAGAGGGCTGGCTCGGGGGTTCCCGGTCTGGAGGCCACGGCACACTGTGTGTGTATTCTCTGTGGACGCAGGGCCGCGGCTTTCGTTAGCTCTCAGAGCAGTGACCCGTATGTTCAAGAACCACGTGTCTTGCCTAATCTGTTCGGTTTTCAGATGGAGAAACTGAGGCCCAAGGATAGGGTGTTACTTCTCTCCAGCCCCCAGCTCTCTCCTGGCAGGGCCTGGAGGGCGGTGGGGGAGGGAGGAGGAGACACCGCTGCACAGGGCGGTGGACTGTGTGTTAGTTCAGAGCGCACAGCAGAGCAAGCGCCGTTAAAATACCAGCTCCCCATTCACTAGCTGAGCGATTGGGATAATTAACTTCCTGGAGCGTCTGTTTCCGTGATGTACAAAACAGAGATAACAATATCCACTTCCTGAGTTCTTACTAAAAATAAAATTGGCCAAAACCGGTTTGGCTCAGTGGTAGAGCGTCGTTCTACGGACTGAAAGGTCCTGGGTTCAATTCCGGTCAAGGGCATGTACATTGGTTGCAGGCACATCCCCGGTAGGGGGTGTGCAAGAGGCAGCTGGTAGATGTTTCTCTCTCATCGACGTTTCTAGCTCTCTATCCCTCTCTCTTCCTCTCTGTAAAAAATCAATAAAATAAAAATAAAAATAACAATAACAATAAAACTGTTCATTCAAATGGTCCAGGCTGTGCCTCCATGTAATAAACACCCAGTATACGGTAACTGCTATAATTTCCAGCACAATCAGAGTTTGGGGATTTTTACATTTGTCATCTCATTTACCCTCACCACCATCCTCGCTATGTTGCTCTCACGTTCCCGGAGGGAAAGATGTGTCTACAGCTGCAGTGCCTCAGTCTTTGCCGTCGCCCGCACCTCCCTCCTCCGGGTGCGGGCGGCTGGCTTCCTGGGACACAGAGTTTGCAGCCGGCCCTTGCTGGGAACATCATTCTGGAGCCAAAGATGCCCCGCCCTCAGCTACGTGACTGCAGACAGGTGCCTTCACCTCTGTGAGCTCAGTGTCCCCGTTAGGAAAATGGGGGGGGGGGGGGGTCCTAAGAACACATGAACTGATGTGATATGTGAGGATTAAGGAAGGTACACACAGCCCCTGACGCCGCTCCGTAAGGAGAGCCCTGATTGGCGCCTGGACCAGGGGCTGTGAGACCAGGAGCCAGCGCAGGCCCAGCGGAGGCCGGCAGGGGCCCTCGGGAGGAGGGCTGGAGGAGCAGACCAGACCTTCCCCAGAGCCGCCCCCTCCCAGGCTCCTCCAGTTCCTAGCACATTCCTGGGATGCCCTTGCTTCTCTTTCTGTGTCTCTCACTGGAGAGCTTTGTCTTTCACACCCGATTCTCTGCTTCCCCGCCCGCTCAGTAGCGCCTGGATTTACAGGGCTCATCACAGAAGATGGCCCTCTCTTTTCTCTTCTTGTTTTTACTATTTTTGTTTTCTTTGTTTTTATTGATTTCAGAGAGGAAGGAAGAGGAAGAGATAGAAACGTCAATGATGAGAGAAAACCATTGATCAGCTGCCTCCGACATGCCCCACACTGAGGATTGAGCCCGCAGCCCTGGCATGCGCCCTTGACCGGAACCCAACCTGGGGCCCTTCGGTCCGCAGGCCGGCGCTCCATCCACGGAGCCGCCCGGCGAGCACTGCCCTCTCTTCCCGACAAGCGCCCAGGCTCCCCCGCCGTCCCGGCACCCACCGGTGTGCACCACGCTGAGCCGGATCTCCCCGACCAGCCCGTCCACGTCGGGCGGGTTCTTCACCTGGCAGGTGTACGTGCCGTTGTCGTCGAACCGCAGCCTCTGGAGCTGGATGGAGGCATCGTACCGATCCGTGTTCCCGTCCCAGACCACCCGGTCCTTGAACCGCCCGCTCGTGGGCTGGAAGGGGTCCATGTGGTAGTAGAACACCTGGGAAGGAGAAGTGGCAAAGGTCTTCCTCGGGGCCGGGGGCCGCGGGCAGCAGAGAGACCCCGCCAGCCTGGGGGGGGCCCCCCACGGCAGCACTCGGCAGGAGCTCCCGGCTCCCCCTGCCAGCGGCCTCCATCCCAGAACCGCTTCCCACCCCTAGCCTGTGCTCATGCTAAAATCAAATAAATACATAGCCAGCCCTAGCTGGTTTGGCTCAATGGGTAGAGCATTGGCCTGCAGACCGAAGGGTCCCGGTTTGATTCCCCGTCAGGCACAGGCCTGGGCTGCGGGCTCCATCCCCAGTGTGGGGCAGGCAGGAGACAGCCAATCCATGATTCTCTCTCATCATTGATGTTTCTCTCTCTCCCTCCCTCTCCCTTCCTCTCTGAGTTCAATAAAAGAGTACACAGACACGGGAAGGGCGGGAGAACAGATCGGTGTGTGTTCCTGGCGCAGGGCCCCTGAGAAAACGACGCTCGTGTGCTTACGAACTGCTCGGAGCCCCCATCCTGCGGGCGGAAGTTCCAGGTCACGGTCAGAGCGTCGCCCACGGGGGCGAAGCTGGAGAACTTGCACTTGAGCCGCACGTCCGTGCCGTTCACCGCCTCCAGCACCCGGGACGTGTAGATCTCCACGGCAGCCGCAGGCCCCAGGGCTGGGGGGGGCGGGGGAGGGTTAACGGCGAGCAGAGCGCTGCCCCCACCACAGCCACCGGAGGGCAGAGCTCAGAGGCCCCGGCCCCCCGGACTCTGCGCCCCAGCCTGCCCTCCCCTCGCTGTGCCAGCAACAGACACCCCGCTGAGCCTCCTGCGCCCTCACTCCCCCCACCCCCACCCCGCACAACACCCACTTCAAGCTGCTGGAGAAACTACAATCACAGCAACTCGGAAGGAAAGCAGAAACCTAGACGTCTGAACAGATCTTAGCATGCACTGGCACTGGCGAGGGTTCGAGCACAGCATGTGAGCTGTGTGTGCGGTCCCTGAGCCAGGGGTTGTCTGAGGGGCCCTTGCTGTGTCTTCTGCAGAAAGCAGGTTCCAGGCCAGCGGTTCATGCTCCCCCGGACCCCGCCGCCTCCCCCACGGCCTGCCCCGCACCGTGCCCTCAGGGCGCGGTGGCCTCCCCGGGGCAGGGCGCTGCCAGGCCCCGCCAGAGCCGCCGCCCGCCTGCCAGGAAAAGGGCTGGTAACCCGAGATTTGAAAACCCTCTCTGTGCCCGAGCTGCTGGCAGCCGAAACACACGGAAACCTGTTTGTCCAAAAGCAGTTCCTCCCAGTGCCCACCAGCTTGGGTTTCAGTCCAGTCCCCCCCAAACGGCTGCCCCGCGGCTCCAGCTCCAGGGAAATCTCTGCTCCTTCCGAGACGATTCGCTCCTCCAGGGGTGGACGGTGAGGGGTGCTGAGCGCCCCCCCCCCCCACACACACACACTCACACACACACTCACACACACTCACACACACACACACACACACACTCACACACACTCACACACTCACACACACTCACACACACACTCACACACACTCACACACACTCACACACACACACACTCTCACACACACACTCACACACACACACACTCACACACACTCACACACACACACACTCACACACACATTCACACACACACTCACACACACACACACTGTCACACACACTCACACACACACACACACACACACACTCACACACCACGGCCTCACCTGTGAGCTGCAAGCCCAGGAGGAGCAGCGCGGCGCGCGGGAGGCTCCGGCCGGACATGAGGACGCCCGGCCCCGGCCCGCCGGCCAGACGGGCGGACGGAGGGCGGCAGCCCCCTGCAGGGCCAGCGGCGCGGCCTGCGTGCCCGGAGCGCGGCGGCCTCACCTGTGGGAACCCGAGCACCCGCGCCTGTGACTCATCCCGCCCCGCGGTGCTCTCCGCTGGAATGAAAGGCGGGGCTCCGCTCGGCGCCTCCCCTCCCTCCGCCTCTCCGGAGCGAGTCTGCACAGAGCCGGCCGCAGCCCCTCCTGCGGCCTCCCGGCGCCCTCGGAAGCGCCGTCCCAGCTGCCTCGGCGTGGCCCCTGCACACCGTTCACCGGCAGCTCGGCGGCCCGGGAGGCGAGTGTCGAAACTGACGGGCCGGGATTGGCCTTCCGAAGCACCTCCCCGCTCCGCGCCTCCGCTCGGCGCCCTGTGGGCAAAGTCCTCCTGCGCCGCAGCCCGAGGCGAAGCTGCCCAGAGCCCTGAACCCGGCGGGCCAGCTTCCCTGAGGCCGCCTGCCAGAGCCGGCCCGCAGCCCCTGCGCACTGCGCCTCCGCCGCGGCGCTTCAAGACCACCCCGTGCCCTGCTCCGCCCGCAGCCCGCAGGGCGCTTTCCGCCTGTTACCTCTCCCAGTGTTTTTCAACCTTTTTTGGGCAAAGGCACACTTGTTTCATGAAAAAAATCACGAGGCACACCACCATTAGAAAATGTTAAAAAATTTAACTCTGTGCCTATATTGACTATATATAAAGTAATTCTCTTGAATAGGAATCAAATAAACACAAAGAAAGTATTTTATAATTACTTTATTATGAAATATTAAGTAAACAAAATAGTGAAAAATTATAAAATTCTTGTCTTGTCTGCACCTACGGCACACCAGGCAACATCTCGAGGCACACTAGTGTGCCGCGGAACAGCAGTTGAAAAACGCTGACCTATCCCATCTCCGCCACCCTCCCCCGTGCGCCCGTTCACCGGGAGAGTGTTCCCTTCACCGGCGAAGAGCCCAGAGGAGGGGAATGTTTTGCCCAAAGTTGGGAGTCCTAAACCTACTGCTCTTTCTACAAAATCACACTCTGGAGCCACCCACAGAGGCCTCTACGGAAAAGGCCGCACATTCCGGCCGCTTCTGGGGCAGCTGCGGGGAGACCCCTCCGGCAGAGGTTCCGCTGGGCCCAGGCCGCCCTCTCCAGAAACAGGCCGGTGGGGTGGTGAGCAGCCCCGGAGGCAGCGAGAGGGAGGCAGAGCACAGGTTCCCTGCAGCGAAGGCGTGGGCTCGGCTAGCCCGGGGTCTCTCCCACGCAGACCAATGGCCCTTGCAAATCCTGGGACAGGAGGCAGTTAAATCCTGGGACAGGAGGCAGTTAAATCCTGGGACAGGAGGCAGAGGTAAATCCTGGGACGGGAGGCAGAGGCAGAGGCAGAAGCGGAGGCGGGGCAGCCGCCTGTATAGGCTAAAACCTGGGGAAGGAGAGAGAAAGCCACTGAGAGGAAGAGTGCAAAAGTGCAGAACAAGAGAAGCGAAGGAGGAGAGAAGTAGCGGGCGAAGGGAGGGGAGAAAGGTGAGAAACAAAAGTGGAGGCTGCGCCCCAGGCCGCCCGGATGCAGGCCGCAGCCAGGGGCGGGGAGGGTTTTTCTGAAAACAGTGGGTGTGCGGCTCCTCTGCCAGCTGCCCGGCCTGCGATCACCTCACATGGGGTGAAGGGTGCGGGCCCTTTGCAACAGGGAGCGGACGAAGAGCCGTCCTGGGGAGAGGTCCGGGAGTTCAGCTCCGGGACCGGGACCGGGACCGGAAAGCAGGGGTTAAGGGAGGGTCCCCTCAGGGGCAGCTCGGGAAGGAGAGGACTGAGGTCGGAGCCCAGTGTGCGCAGGTCGGGTTACCAGCGCGGCGGGAGGCAGAGAAGCAGCCGGAGAGGAACGGGGCCAGAAGCCGAACAAACTGCCTGTTGTCGGGAGCAGAGAGCAACCCCCAGGTAGCCCGCCGCCCGGGGCCAGGCCAGCCCCGCAGGGGGGCCAGCAGAGTTCAAGCACCTGGCCTCGTGCCCGGCGACGCCCAGTTCCTTCCAGTTAGCAGGAGTCACCCAGTTTCCCTCCCTGGGTGGGGAGGGAGGAGGCCAGGGCGGGACTAAGTAGAGAAAACACAACGTAAGAAGGAGGGTTGCCCCTAAGAGTCCCAGAATGCCAGTCAGCAGGACTTGGGTCAAAGCTGGAGGCATCGGCTGGGTTCTGCCCACGGGCGGGGAGGCCGCTGCTGTGGGAGACCCAATGGAGCAAAAAGTATGGTCCCCCATGTCTGATGGGGGGGGGCCAAGACCGGCACCTGAGGACTTGGGTGAGCAGGGAGGAGAAGACAGTAACTCGGAGTCCTTGGGCGGGAGAGCAGTGAGGGTCACTTCAGAGTGGAAAAGCCCCCGCACCCCAGGAGGCTCAGGGCCCGCACCGCCCGCCGTGGGAGGCCAGGGGCTGCGCTCCGGTCCCCCTGCGGTCGGGGACGCTGGTGATCAGACCCCAGGAGGATGAGCAGTGGCGGGATGATGGGGTTGAAGTCCATGGGGGGCTCATTCGATGATTCGGGTATTTGTTTTATTTTATTTCCCCCTTTTTGTTGTTAAAAATCGTCCTTTTGTAGCGCGGTGTTCACAATGGAATTGAACCCCTTAAAACACCTGCTCATGGGCCTGCCAGCGCCCATCTGCACCTCGTTTGTTCTCATGGTGCGGGAGGTCACACCTCCGCCCCCCACAGCGCCTCTCCTTTGGTTTGGTTTTGTTAATCCTCACCTAAGTGATGAGTAAGGTGAATGGACGCAGTGTTCACAATGACATCTTACAGCCCTGGTTTCCAGCCAGTGACTTCACTTCAGGATGGGGACTTCCCATGGGGGAAGTTCCCAGAGACCTGAACTCTGGGAAAATTATCTTTCCTTGACTTAAGCTTCCTTTAAAATTTGAAGGTCTAACCCTGGTCGGTGTGGCTCAGAGGATAGAGCACCAGCCTGCAGACCGAAGGGTCCTGGGTTGATTCTGTTCAAGGGCATGTGCCTCAGTGGCAGGGTCCTCCCTGACCTGGTCAGGACACATGCAGGAGGCAACAATCGATGTGTCTCTCTCACATCGATGTTTCTCTCTGCCTTTCCCTCTTTCTGAAAATCATTGGGAAGATACCTTTGGGTGAAGATTTAAAAAACATAATAAAGCCGAAGCCGGTTTGGCTCAGTGGTAGAGCGTCGGTCTGCAGACTGAAAGGTCCCGGGTTTGATTCCAGTCAAGGGCATGTACCTTGGTAGGGGGTGTGCAAGAGGCAGCTGGCCAATGTTAATCTCTCATTGACGTTTCTGGCTCTCTATCTCTCTCCCTTCCTCTCTGTAAAAAATCAATAAAATATGTTTTAAAAAAAAATTAAAACCTGAATGTCTGGACTGAGAGAAGAGGGGCCTCAGGTTGGAGTCCGATGACAGACGGTGAGATGAAGACCACCTCCAAAGCCACTCGCTGGAGAGAAGCATTGCCAGCGGGAGGAGAGCTCTGCCAGCAGGTCCCCGAGCAGCTCTGACCCGTTGGCAGAGCAGCTGTTTGTGCAGCCGTGTGTGTAGCAGGACACTGCTCTTCTCACCTCGTTTCTACTCTGGGGATGTGGGCTTTCAGTGGACATTGTCTGTATTAGCTCTACTGAAATAAACCAAATGTTTGTAAAAATTATTAAAACAACAACTGGAGGCATCCAGATAAGGCCTAGATTAGAGCTGGTGTGTAGGCAAATGAAAGAAAAGGAAGAGGAATTCTAGAGACTAAAAGGGGAGTGAAGCTCCTCCCTCTGTCCCAGCCGCCCACACACATCCCCACACATTCCTGGCAGAGGTCGGCCTTGGCCAGGAGGGCTCGCAGGGCCCAGAAGACACAGAGGACAGAGGGCCCAGGTCATCATTTGTAAAATGGCCGTCTCAACGTCCCGCACAAGGGGTTTCCTCACCACAAGATGGAATTGGTGCCGAAATCAGTTTGGCTCAGTGGTAGAGCGTCGGTCTGCGGACTGAAAGGTCCCAGGTTTGATTCTGGTCAAGGCATGTACATTGGCTGTGGGCACATCCCCAGTAGGGGGTGTGCAAGAGGCAGCTGGTTGATGTTTCTCTCTCATTGACGTTTCTAGCTCTCTATCCCTCTCTCCTCCTCTCTGTAAAAAATCAATAAAATATATATTTTTAAAAAAAGATGGAATTGGCATTCTGTGAAGCAGGTAAATTTAGCTCTTTGGGTGGTTCAAGTACAGTGTGTGTTTACTCAAAGGTTTCTGCCGTGTCTTTCTTACCAGTAAAAGTTTTATTACATTGTTGTCAGATACTGGGCTAGACATGTAAAGTAGAATTAGACATTTCTGCCTGGTGTGGGTGATCAGAATCTAAAGAGAAAGTAAAGTATGGGTGTAAATAAACAATAAGTACATTTGTGACCTTTGAACTGAACCTAAAGGACCAATAAGAATTCTGGAAAGAGCCCTAACTCTTGTTTGGCTCAGTGGATAGAGCATCAACCTGCAGACTGAAGAGGCCCAGGTTCAATTCTGGTCAAGGGCATATACCTTGGTTGCAGGCACATCCCCAATAGGAGGTGTGCAAGAGGCAGCTGATCAATGTTTCTCTCTCATCAATGTTTCTGACTCTCTACCCCTTTCCCTTCCTCTCTGTAAAAACCAACAAAATATATATATATTTTTAATTCTGGAAAGATGCCCAGCCGGTGTGGCTCAGTGGTTGAGCGTTGACCTAGGAACCAAAAGATCACAGTTCAATTCCCGATCAGGGAACATGCCCAAGTTGCTGGCTTGATCCCCAGTATGAAGCATGCAGGAGGCAGCCAATCAATGATTCTCTCTCATCATTGGTATTTCTATCTCTACCTCTCCCTTCCTCTCTAAAATCAATAAAAATATTTTTTTAAAGAATTCTAGAAAGAGACGAGAAACAAAGGTATTCCTGTTGGAACAAATGGGTAGGAATATGGTGTCCCTTGGGGTCCCCAAGCAATCCCTCAATGCTGAGGAGGGCCAGGCAGGAGCGGAAGAGATGCAGGGCTTGGATGTTGAGGTGCTCATCGAGCCTGAGGGGAAACAGTGAGGGGAATTAATGAAAGTCATGGGGCTCCCGGACTAGGAGCCAGAATGAAAGTAGAAACTTAACACGAGTTTTCAAAGGACTCAGAGATTCCCAGTTTTCCCTTACCAACAATTCCTATTTATACCTCCTT